AAAGCATTTATTAACACACTGAGCAACTATTATCATGTGTCTAAATAATATTTATAAATGTACATTTAAATAGTTTATTAATCATTTACTTACACTTTCTAAATGATCAAATGAACTCCTAAGTAACTGGTTTGTAAATAACGTAATCATTTAGAAATGATAAATTGATCATTAATAAAGTATGAAAATACAATTATTAAACATTATAGATATGCTCAAGAACAAAACATTTATAGCTGTATTTATAAACTGCTTACTAATGCCTATTAATGTTGGAACAATGCTTTATAAAGGATACATTGACTATTTACTAATGCTTAACTAATGAATCATAGTATGCAGTTATTATAAAGTGTTACCAATTTTTTTTTAAAGTTTAAGTTTTGAATATTAACTGACATTAATACATGCTATATAATTATTGTTCATATTAATTAATATAATTAATGTTAATAACTGAAACCTTACTGTAAAGTGTTACTAAAGTTTTATATAGTGTTCTGTGTATGTGTGTTTCACAGTCTTGATGGTTTGAATTAACCCTTTAATTGCCGTAACCCTGAAAACCAGACTGCCAGAGGGTTACTGTAAATGCATGTGCCCGCTGGGCACAGTTTTCCTGATGCCACCGGGGTGGCGTATGACCTGACGGCTTGGGCCCGCCATCGCTGCTTGCAGCTATATTTATAATTAATTATACTTGTCTCTTTAAAAATAAAAAATAAAAAAATTAAGCCACTTAGCCAGTGTAACATTTCAGCATAGCCTATTTTATTTGAAGTGTATCCTGTGTATTCTGATACATGCATTAATGTTTCTGGGCTAAGCCCCAGATATCCACTCACTGTAGAACTGCCCCTGGAATCAAACCCATTATTTCAGCACTTTGCTCTACTGATTTAGAATGCATTGTAAAAAATGGAGCTTTAATATGAATATGATTGTCATGATCTCCAGCTGGAGTGCCCATGAGCTCCTCTAGAGGGCAGTCCATTCTGTACCTTGCCATTCACTCAGGACTCCATTTCCCATAATCCTTTGCCCGGACTCATCAAGTGCATCACCTGTCTCTCATCAGATCTCATCATCAGTTCACAGCTGTCTCACATTAGTAGGAACTCATTATTGCACCACACCTATTTCCTATCAGTGACACTATAACGGTTGCACTCATTCACACACACATTGCTGATTATTCTTTAGCCTGTACCCTGTTCCGAGTCTCTGTGTTTCCTTGCCTTGCCTTGCCTTCTTGTTTCTTGACCTTGGACTGTTTATTGGATTGCTCTTTTGTCTCGCCTTGGATTGTACCTGTTTGCTGGTGTTTGACCCTGCCTGTTTTGACCACTCTTGTGAATAAAAGCTGCATTTGGATCCTCAACTCCGTTGTCACGCCTCCTACGTTACAATGATGGATTATCAACTAATTATGTACCTTCCTTGTAGGTGCGTTCAGATGTAGTATATAACGTTTTTATTAACGTCAAAGTGCATACAGCACGAACGAGTTTAACAGTTGAGGCAAAATCTGTAAACACTGCTTTGAAAAATAATGTTTTTTTTCTTGTGCTTGCAGGTTCATTCAGACAGTCAACATTTGTGGCACCAAATGCATTGAAAGTCACAGATCAGGTGGAATTTTGGAAAGAGGGTGCAGCCTGAATACCATCCTGCTGTTTCTCATCAGAGAGCGTGTCAACTTTTACTGTCAAAATGACTGAAATTTAACACAACACCACAAACTCATTTTTACTGTATTTTATTTACACTACCAGTCAAAAGTTATTGAACAGTAAGATTTTTAATGTTTCTTAAAGAAGTCTCTTCTGCTCACCAAGCTTGCATTTATTTGATCCAAAGTACAGCAAAAACAGTACAATTTTGAAAAAGTTTTACTATTTAAAAATAACTTTGTATTTGGATATATTTTAAAATGTAATTTATTCCTGTGATCAAAGCTGAATTTTTAGGATCATTACTCCAGTCACATGATCCTTCAGAAATCATTCTAATATTCTGATTTGCTGCTCAGAAAACTATTATTATTATTATTATTATTATTAT